GCTTGATATCAACACAATCATGTATTTATACTATCAGTATCCAATATATATACTATAATATATCATTTCTTAGACTGAAAGAAATATTTATTTCATTTATATTGCAGTGCATCGGTACATTCTACAATGTATCGATGCATCCCTTAACATGTTCATCGATGCACTACCCATGCATCGATACACAATTTACATTTGATGTTTATATTTTAAGGGGATGCATCGATGCACGAATTACATTCGATGCTTCTTTAATTGAGAGTGCATCGATACACATTGAAGATGCATCGATGCACACAACTCAGAAATTTCATTTTGAGCACGAAATGTCTTACTTTTCCTTCCAATTCTACTTATCAACCCCTCCTTATTCCTTAAAACTTATCTATACATATGTAAACCTTCTTATAACACTATAACTCTTCACCATCTCTCATAATTTACCATAATTCTTAAATCAAAAAATTTCATCAAATTTTCCATGTGTTATAAATTCAATTATATCACTTCTAACTTCTTAATTAACCATTTGACAAGTCAAATCCATCTTTAGAACTTCAAAACCTTTCTATAACAAAAGTTCATTTCTACACCCTTCATATAATTTCCTTTTTAATTCTTTATTCTTGATGTTTAAAGCTTATATAAGCTTTCCTTAAGCTTATATAATACTCAAAGAATCAAAATCAACATATAAATCCAAGAATTAAACAGCTGAAATTAAACTCACCTTTAACAGAGGCTTATGGGGAGAAGAAGAAGCTGAAGAAGAAGACTCTGGATACATTTTCTCATTTCCCACGTTTTTATATCCCTTAAAAAGAGAATAAAAATCTTATCTTAGAAAAGACCATAATACTCTTGTTACTTTCCAACTTTACTATTAAATCCAACATCAAAAATTGTTCAATTAAATCCATGAACTTTTAACTTATTTTGAAATCGAGCACATAGTTTTCAAAATTTGTAATTTAGTCACCAACCCTGATTTGGGATGTTACAAACTATTTCCAAAATAGTTAACAAAGCAACTAAAACATTTATAAGTACATGCCACTAAATAAGTCAGAATTACATCAAAGGATGTCTTACTGATATTGTATTATACTCCTCGATGTTTGAGGTTGATCAGTACTCGTTACTTCTACTCCTGACGTTTACCTACGCGTGAAAATCATCACATGCTAAGTATATACTTAGTGAGGCAATTTAAAAATAATAAACAATCTTTTCATGCATAAAATTTAAATGTCATCATCAAATACCATAAAATTTTCTTACCTGCCAAAATCAACATGACATGTTATAAATATAATCATTAAATCAATAACTATAGCCTAATTTATTAATCTATGAGGAACCCGGTATATGATTCAAAAATTACGTAATAACGCTAAGGTCGAGCCATGCTCACCTAATAAATTGCACTGTAGTGCTGAGGTCGGGTCTTGCCCACCTAACTTGTACTATGTGTCTTCACTATACACATTAGTAATACTTAAATTTTCAATGCTGCTAGACTCTATGGCAAGCCATTAATACCACTGAACCTCAATAACATACTTGGGCATCTAGTCATAAATTAAAACATCCATGGCAACATATAACAATAAAACAAACATTAGGGCAATTCATACCCAAAATAACATTCATGTCAAAATTTCATGCTGATAAAACAAGGCAGACTTATCACAAGTCTTCCTGATGATGTATAAAACATCTAAGTACATGATGTATACAACATCTTTGTACAATGTCATGCATGTATTACACTCACCTTGACACTTTAATAATTCTAAAAGATTTTGCTTCACTATGTTCCAATTTAGTCCTTTTTATATTCGATTTGCTTCGAACACCGATTCAATCACGATCTGTACAAAATCATATATTCATATCTATATTTATGTTAGTATTGTACTAACATAAATACATTTCCAAAATAATTTCCATATTTAGACAACTCGTACTACCTTTAAATAATCAGTATTCTGTATTGATATACACACTATAATTTAATTTCGTTTCTTCCGTTGAAAACTATACTCGAATAAGAATCTATCCATATAAAGAACTCCTTCTAATTCATTATGTACAATTTATGGTGAATTTTCAAAGTTGACCAACATAATCTGTTTTGTGCAGAATCTGCTCCCGTTTTTCTGACATTCCTCGGTTAAAAATTCATATCTTTTTGTATACACCTTGAAATTGATCCCCGTTTATTTTAAACAAAAATAGATTGATATAAGAACACAATATATAAAAGTGACCTCCAAATCATTTTTATATAATTTCTGGTGAATTTTCAAACTCACTGCCAGATTCAAAAATCTAAATTGTTTTCTTTAACTTCATCCTTAGGTTATTCATCAATTCTTACAACAAACTCTTTAAAATCACTTAACTCTTCATAACTCCTAAAACACAAGAAATCAACATCCCCTTCATCAACTCAAGATGAACTTGAACATAAACCCTAGTGATATTCATGTCAAAACATAGCGAATTGAACGTAGAACATTTTCCTAACCACACCGAAGTCTAATTCTGAAGAAAATAGCTTCAAAAATAGGAAAAGAATTTTTTTTCTTACATTTGAGAGAAACCCACGACCTTTCAGCTGAATATGAAGAAATATCCTCAATCATTCTTCATCTTTCATTATAATTTAATGAATTTTTAATTCATTAAATGCTAAATTACCAATTTACCCTTAAAATTAAAATATTTTTCCTAATTTACCCTTAATGAACTTGATATTTACATTAATACCAAACCACCTAACCTTATCATCTTCCACAGTCAAAGATGAACCAATTTGACTTTGACTTATTAAATTTTCCATGAAATTTTCAAAAATTGCATTCTAGTCACTAAATTCCACTTTTCGGTCAAATCTGAAAAATTGCACATTTCTAGGCCAAATTTCTCTGATCTAAAATATGTAAATAACATTTCCAACCATTTTATAACATCCTTCAAATTTTCGTAAAATTCCAATTCGATCTGAATATTCGATTTCAATACCGAATTTTACTGCTTTATAGCTTTTAACACAATTCTCGTACCAAAAATATGATTTCCCACTAAAATATATGTTTTAATCCAAACTTTTCATTTACATGCTAAAATATATAATTTTAAAAGTTACATTTCGGTATCTAAACTTTTCAAAGTTTATACTTTAGCTACTAAACTTTCAAAACTTACACTTTAGTCACTAGACAAAATTTGAAGTATTACAATTTCTCCCCCTTAAAGAAAATTCGTCCTTAAATTTTCTCTATGTATCTACATACCTAAATTAAATAGATGAGGAAATTTTTTCTTCATGTCTTCTTCTCGTTCCGAAGTTGCTTCCTCAACTTTATGGTTTTGCAAAGAACTTTTACCAATGGAAAAACTTTAATGGCTCCTCTTCGTATGATAAATCTGGTTGAATCTCAATCTCCTCTGGTGTTAGGGCTGAGCAACGAAACCGAGAAAATCGAAAAACTGACACGAACCGAGTAAAATGGTTCGGTTTGACCTTATACGATTCGGTTTTCGGGTTGGTTTAAAGTCTTAATTCTATTGATTCAGTTCGGTTCGGGTTTTCCATATGGAACCCATTTGTTCCATATTGAACCGAAGAGACAATTTTTTTAAAAAAAAATTATAGTTTCAAGTGATTTTTTCATTGAAAAACAGATTATTTTAGCTCAGTTCAATTTTTAGTAAACCGTTTATTTCCGTTCGGTTCAATTTTTGGTAAAAAAATGAACCAAACCGAACCGAATACACCCCTATCTGGTGTAATGACATGTGAATGATCTGATTGATACTTTCTAAGCATCGACACATGAAAAACATTGTGAACTTTGTCTAATTCTGGAGGTAATACTAGCTGATACGCCACTGGTCCAACTCTTTTCAAGATCTCATAAGGTCTAATGAATCTTGGACTTAATTTTCCTTTACACCTAAATCGCAATATGTTTTTCCAAGGTGATACTTTAACAAAAACTTTATCACCTTCATGGAACTCAATCTCTTTTCGCTTTAATTCTGCATAAGACTTCTGACGATCAGCTGCTATATTGAGATTATCTTGAATTATGCTCACTTTATCCTCAACATCTTTCAATAAATCATGGCCAACCAAATCCTGATCATTTAACTCGAACCAATTTAATGGTGTACGACATTTTCTTTCGTATAAAGCTTCGTACGGAGCCGTTTTAATGCTCGATTGATAGTTATTGTTGTAAGCAAATTCTGCTAAAGGAAAATACTTTTCCCAAGATCCCTCGAATTCAATCACGCATACCCTCAACATATCCTCCAATATCTGGATAGTCCGCTCAGACTGACCATCCGTCTATGTATGAAAGGTTGTACTGAAACACAATCGAGTACTCAAAGTTCTATGCAAAGAATTCCAAAAATCTGGATGTGAACCTTGGATCCCTATCAGATATGATGGATATTGGCACACCATGCAGTCGAACTATCTCTTTTATATACAACTCTACATACTTATCTAATAAATAGTCTATTCGCACCGGAATGAAGTGTGTCGACTTAGTTAATCGGTCAACTATCACCCAAATAGAATCATTTTTACTTGGTGTCAAAGGTAGCCCTACAACAAAATCCATAGTGACTCGTTCCCACTTCTATTCTGGGATTGAAATCGATTGTAAAATTCCTTAAGGCACTTGATGCTCAGCTTTTACTTGTTGACATGTCAGACATGTAGCAACTAATTTAGAAATAGCTCTTTTCATACCCGACCACCAATACCGACTCTTTAAATCTTGATACATCTTATTTCCACCTAAGTGCATAGTCAATGGACTATAATGTGCCTCAGAAAGAATATCCTTCTTCAATTCATCATCATGAGGAATGCAAATTCTTCCTCGATAATACAGACATCCATCCGCTTTAACTTGAAAGTCTTTTGTCTCACCTTTTTCCACTTGTTTTATATTTTCCAAACATCTCTCGTCTTTCTTCTATATCTCTCTTATCTGATCTATAAGCATCAGCTTTATCCTTAATTCAGCCAGCATTGCGCCATTTTCCTTTAAAGATAAGCGAGCATCTAAAGTTGGCAAAGCTGTAAAAGTCTTTCGGCTAAGTGCATCAGCTACAACATTACCCTTCCCAGGATGGTAGTCAATAACCACATCATAATCCTTTAAAAGTTATATCCATCTTCTCTGTCTCAAGTTTAGTTCTTTTTGAGTCAACAGATATTTTAGACTTTTATGATCTGTGTATATGTAGCATCGCTCACCATACAAATAATGGCGCCAAATATTTAGAGCAAATATCACTGCTGCCAACTCAAGATCATGTGTGGGATAATTTCTCTCGTGAGTCTTTAATTGTCTGGAAGCATAAGCTACAACATTATCTTCTTGCATAAATACACAGCCCAAACCATTATGAGATGCTTCACTATACACCACATACTCTTTACCTGACTCCGGTTGTACCAGTACTGGTGCTTCCGTTAAAATCTTCTTTAGAGTTTCAAAACTTTCTTGGCACTTCTCGGTCCAAAAAAAAGGAACATCCTTTCTCAAGAGATTAGTCAATGGAGAAGCAATCATCGAAAAGTTCTTCATGAACCTTCGATAATAACCGGCAAGTCCCAAGAAACTTCGAACCTCTGTAATATTCTTTGGATATGTCCACTCCACGATAGCTTGAACTTTCTTAGGATCAACCCTTATGCCTTCTGCCGAAATCACATAACCAAGAAAAGCAACTTCAAACAGCCAAAATTCACACTTTGACAGCTTGACATATAACTTTTTCTCTTTAAGAATCTCGAGCACAGTACGAAGGTGAACGTCATGTTCTTCCTCTGTTTTTGAGTACACTAGAATGTCATCAATAAATACCACCACAAACTAATCCAAATAAGGTTCAAAGACTCGGTTCATCAAATCCATGAATGTTGCTGGAGCATTAGTCAACCCAAATGGCATCACCACAAACTCATTGTGCCCATACTGTGTTCTGAAAGTTGTCTTTGGAATATCTTCCTCTTTAATCTTCAATTGGTGATATCCCGATCGAAGATCAATCTTGGAGAAAATGGCTGCTCCCTTAAGTTGATCAAATAAATTATCAATCCTCGGAAGAGGATACTTGTTCTTGATAGTCACCTTGTTTAACTGTCGATAATCTATGCATAATCGCATGGATCAATCTTTCTTTTTTACAAACAACACTGGAGCACCCCAAGGTGAAACACTTGGTCTAATGAATCCTCAATCTAGCAGTTCTTGCAATTGAGCCTTTAATTCCCTTAATTCAGTAGGGGTCATTCGATAAGGAGTCATCGAAATAGGAGTTGTACCTAGAAATACGTCAATACCAAACTCCACCTCTCTATCTGGAGGTAAACAGGTAACTCATCTGGAAACACCTCTGAATATTCTCGAACTGTTGGTATGTCTTCCAACTTAACTTCAGCAGCTCTTGTATCCACCACATTTGCTAAAATTGCTTTGCACCCTTGTGACAACAATTTCTTAGTAATAAAGGCTTAAATCACATTGGATAAGGGATTCACCCTTTCTCCAACAAATATTATCTCTGAACCCTTTGTATCCTTTAAGAACAATCTCTTCAAACAACAATCTACCCAACCATAATAGGAAGATAACCAATTCATGCCTAAAATTATTCCAAATTCCTCGAAAGGTAATTCTAACAGATTTACAGGAAATTCCCCTCCATGTATCTTTATCGAACAATATTTATATATCCGACTAATCCTCGCACTATGACCCAAAGGATTAATTGCCACCATATCACTAGAAATAGGTTCTAAAGGGATTCCCTTCTCTCTAACCAGGTTTGTACTAATATAAGAATAAGTAGAACCATAATCAATCAACACAACAACATGTTCATCAAAAAGGTAAAAGGTACCTGCTATAATCTCATGAGCATCTTGATCATCATCAGTCTTTATATGATAAATTATGGCAGTAGTCTTGTCTTCCCGATTAGATGCAATCTCAGACGTTTCTGGTATGCTACCCTTTTTACTTCTACCTCGTTGCGGTGCTGCTACGGACTGGTCTGGATAAAGTTCTGGACATTTATTTCTATAATGTCTAACTTGCTTGCAATGATAGCATTTTCCTTCCATGAGCCGACACTGACCAAAGTGATTCTTTCCACAATACTCACATTCTGGTTTCTAACGAGATCCCGAACCTTGAGTACCCACCGAAGCTGCTGGTGTATGCTTTGATTTTCCCCCGGAAAATCCTTTTCTAGGTGTGGATGTTGAGGAAGCATAACTTTTCTGCTATTGGACCTTGTTGCATTTGGAAAAGGGTGCAGAGTAAGAACTTCGAAACCATTTTCTTAACTGAGCATTTTTAGCCTCTAAATCTTCAAGGTCAACTTTTTTCCATAGCTTTAGCCTTGTTTACGGCTTCCTGAAAGGCAATAAAATGATGAGAAACCAGAATCCTTTTAGACTGAGGATCCAACCTAGAAATAAATCTGTCAATTCTAATTTTCTCAGTCGAGAGGAATTCCGATACAAATCGACTCAACCGGTGGAACTCGCATTCATATTCATAGACTGTCCTGCCAACTTGCTTCAGATTCAGGAATTGTTGAATCATTTCATTGACAAACACGTCCCCAATATACTTTTCCTTGAATTCCGTCAGAAATAATTCCCATGTGATCTGTTCAGTGGAAACTCGTGCGATGACTGTATTCTACCACACACTGGCTTGCTCTATCAGTAGAGACATAACCCATTCCAACTTTCCTTAATCATCACAAGGAATCTTGTTGAGCATATTCTTGACATCATTCAACCAGAAGTCAGCAGCCATCGGATTAGCGTCTGAATCGCCTCAAAATTCAGGTGATCTCATCTTCCTCAGTTCTTTCGGAACTGACACTGGGGTTCGACGATTAATAATGTGGTCTAGGGCTTGTAAGAACAGCCCCCGATCTTCAACAGGCATATCAAGTTGATTCATATTAGACGGCTCTACATTCGGCTGAGCATTGAGTGGATTCTGGTTCACGTCATTACTCCCACTCTGTACAGAAGTAATACGCTCATCGACCTTACTTAACTCTTGATGATTCGACATCTGAACACAATCAAAATCATCTAAAATTAATAAGGAGTAACTTTACAACATAATAAGCATCAAAGCATATATACAACTATCAATATAATTTTGACATCCTAGTGGCATGTATACATTCTTAACTATTTTTAAACTCATTTTCTGTCTAGAAATGGCTAAACATGTAGCTCTGATGACAATAAAATGTAACACCTACGACCCATATACTTATACCAATACATGTTATAGATTTTACCTGATTTACTTAAAATATTTCCCAATTCAAAAGTGGCTTGAATTTTTTTTCCAATTATAATAGAAAATATAAAATAATAAATCACATATTTTTTTATAATATTTAAATATCAAATACGTCAATTTATAAAAGTAATACTAAATAATATCATCCATGATGAAATAGAGTAAAACAATTTAGTTTAGTCATTACAACTATTTCCAAAATAGTTAATAAAGCAACTAAAACATTTATAAGTACATGCCACTAAATAAGTCAGAATTACATCAAAGGATGTCTTACTGATATTGTATTATACTCCTCGATGCTTGAGGTTAATCAGTACACCTTATTTCTACTCCTGACGTTTACCTACGCGTGGAAATAATCACATGCTAAGTATATACTTAGTGAGGCAATTTAAAAATAATAAACAATCTTTTCATGTATAAAATTTAACTTTTCTGCCAAAATCAACATGACGTGTTATAAATATAATCATTAAACCAATAACTATAGTCCAATTTATTAATCTATGAGGAACCCGATATAAGAGTCAAAAATTGCGTAATAACGAGAAGGTCGAGCCATGCTCACCTAATAAATTGCACCGTAGTGCTGAGGTCGGGTCTTGCCCACCTAACTTGTACTATGTGTCTTCACTATACACATTAGTACTTCTTAAATTTTCACAGCTGCTAGACTCTATGACATGTCATTAATATCACTGAACCTCAATAACATACTTGGGCATCTAGTCATAAATTAAAACATCCATGGCAACGTATAACCATAAAACAAACATTAGGACAATGATGTATAAAACATCTAAGTACATGATGTATACAACATCTTTGTACAATGTCATGCATGTATTACACTCACCTTGACACTTTATAATTCTAAAAGATTTTGCTTCACTATGCTCCAATTTAGTCCTTTTTATATTCGATTTGCTTTGAACACCGAGTCAATCACGATCTGTACAAAATCATATATTCATATCTATACATATGTTAGTATTGTACTAACATAAATACATTTCCAAAATAATTTCCATATTCAGACAACTCGTACTATCTTTAAATAATCAGTATTCTGTATTGATATACACACTGGAATTTAATTCCGTTTCTTCCGTTGAAAACTATACTCGAATAAGGATCTATCCATATAAAGAACTCCTTCTAATTCATTCTGTACAATTTATGGTGAATTTTCAAAGTTGACCAACAGAATCTGTTTGTGCAGAATCTGCTGCCCGTTTTTCTGCTCTTTCCTCGGTTAAAAATTCATATCTTTTTGTATACACCTTGAAATTGATCCCCATTTATTTTAAACAAAACTATATTTATATAAGAACACAATATATAAAAATAACCTCCAAATCATTTTTATATAATTTCTGGTGAATTTTCAAACTCACTGCCAGATTCAAAAATCTAACATGTTTTCTTTAACTTCATCCTTAGGTTCTTCATCAATTCTTACAACCAATTCTTCAAAATCACTTAACTCTTCATAACTCCTAAAACACAAGAAATCAACATCCTCTTCATCAACTCAAGATGAACTTGAACATAAACCCTAGTGATATTCATGTCAAAACGTAGCGAATTGAACGTAGAACATTTTCCTAACCACACCAAAGTCTAATTCTCAAGAAAATAGCTTCAAAAATGGGAAAAGAAAATTTTTTCTTACCTTTGAGAGAACCCACGACCTTTCAGCTAAAGATGAAGAAATAACCTCAATCATTCTTCATCGTTCATTATAATTTAATGAATTTTAAATTCATTAAATGCTAAATTACCAATTTACCCTTAAAATTAAAATATATTTCCTAATTTACCCTTAATGAACTTGATATTTACATTAATTCCAAGCCACCTAACATTATCATCTTCCACAGTCAAAGATGAACCAATTTGACTATGACTTACTAAATTTGCCATGAAATTTTCAAAAATTTTCAAAAATTGCATTATAGTCCCTAAATTCCACTGTTTCGGTCAAATCTAAAAAATTGCACATTTCTGAGCCAAATTTCTCTGATCTAAAATATATAAATAACATTTCCAACCATTTTATAACATCCTTCAAATTTTCTTAAAATTTCAATTCAATCCGAATATTCGATTTCAATACCGAACTTTACTGCTTTATAGCTTTTAACACAATTCTCGTACCAAAAATATGATTTCCCACTAAAATCTCTGTTTTAATCCAAACTTTTCATTTACAGGCTAAAATATATAACTTTTAAAAGTTACATTTCGGTATTTAAACTTTTCAAAAGTTTATACTTTAGCCACTAAACTTTCAAAACTTAAACTTTAGTCACTAGACAAAATTTAGGGTATTACAAAAACATTGGAAATAGACTCATCGCAAGTCTTCTTTCCATATGATCATATTTCATAGTTGTATGCACTCACCTTGACCTCACTTAATTAAAGTAACACTTAGAACTCTTAAACACTCTTATGACTTCGAATCGTCCAGAACTTGCCTTTGTTCGCTATCTATACAAAGATATAATCTATATGAATGTCGGAGTTCATATTACTATTAATCAATCATTAATAACTTAAGCTTAAACAAAACACTTAATTCCTCAATTTATTATAAATAGTATCGGTACCCCAGGTCCAGTACTGTTACTTCCTTACTATGGTATCGATACTATACTTCAGTATCGATACCCATTCTACATTATGGAATTCAACTTCTAAAAATTGTACCGATACTTGTACCTTAGTATCGATACCCTTGGTATCGATGTTACTCCTTCGGTTCGGTATTGATAATGATTAAAGGATTTCATATAATTTTACCTTATGGTATCGATATTGTTCTTCCAATATCGATACCCAAACTCAGATATCACCTATTTTTGCTTTGAAGTATCGGTATTGTTCATCTAGTACCGGTACCTCTTGCCCATAACTTACTCATTAAACCCAAAAATTTCCCAAAACTTACTTAAATCTTCCACTTTAATCTCATTTCAAGCCTTTAAACTACGATACACTTATTAAAACTAACTTGTCTCACTTTAATACTCCTCAACACCCAAAATCTCACTAGAACACTTGGAAACAAAAATACACCAAATAATCTACATACCCCAAATTCATTTCTAACACTTTAGTTTTCTTATTCCTACTTATGACAAGTTAAATATGATTTCTAAATCCATTTATTAACTATTTATCATCAATTCACTCAAAAACTCTTTATATTCAATCACTTGTAACTTGTAAATCTTTTAGTTTCTACTTCTCTTTAAGCTTTCTTAAACTTATATAATGCTCAAATACCAAAAACCAACTTAAAAAGTCAAGAAATAACTAAGTCAAAAATCTCTTACCTTAGGTATGAAGACACAGTAGAGACGAGGAAGAAATGATGAAGAGAATTCTAGATATATCTTCTCTTCATCTCCACGTGTATACATTACACCACTAAGAAATTTTAAATTCTTTTCTTGTCTATTGACCTTTTTGCCCTTTATTCTTTCAATTCTTGCTAATCAATCCTACACAAATAATTTCCAAGTAAATCTCTGAACTTTTCAATTTATCTAATTTGATCACGAAGTTTTAAAATCTTACAATTTGGTCACTAATATGGTGTTTGAGATGTTACACAAAGAGTATTCTCAAATCCCAGGCCAAGACTTTCGATATAAGTTCAACCCTATGATTAAGTTTCATATCTTGAACGTTATTTTGTCGCTTACTGTAACGAATGGTTGGGTGTTGAGGTAGGTAGACGTTAACAACGCGTTTTTGAATGGTGACTTGCAAG